TTTTTTAAACCCTGTTTTTACCTCTGAGCATTTTTAAAATGTTCCCAAATAATTATTTTATAAAAACCACTTTTGTATCTTGGTCAATCGGTCTAACACGTGAAAAACGGTCTAAACCGTACGCACGTATTATACGACCTTGGAGACTTGGTTTTTACCAAACAAGTCTTGTTTTCACTATTTTATACCATATACAATATTTTCCAAACCTGGTTTTTACTTTTGGGAACACTTCGTTTTTGGACCTCGGTTTTTCAAAACGGGTTTCAGCTGGCTAGACTTTAGCTGGGTGATAATCGATTATCACCTTAGTGACAATCGACTATCAGCCCCTGCAGCTTTGAACTTCCAAAGTTTTGAAGCACGCAATAATCGATTATCAGCTTTGCGATAATCGATTATCAGTCTTTGCAGCCAAAACCCAGAATCTTCTGAGAGGACAAATAATCGATTATCACTTGTTGACAATCGATTATCTGGGTTACCGTTGTCATCCAACGGATAGAATTTTAAATTTTTGGACAGGGAATCTTTGGATAATCGATTATCAAGCTTTGACAATCGACTATCACCCTGTGTCTCTGAAAAATTTGTCTTCATCCTGTTGGAAACTCTAGCAACGGATTTATCCCATTTTGGGCTATAAAATGGCACCCAAATCCTCTCATTTTACAGACAATTCTTCAACATTTCAATAATCCTTCATTGCATAAGCATTCCTATTTTTCTTAGCTATTTGAGAGCCAATTCTTGAAGAAATTGTCATGTTCTTGAGCGTTTACTAGTTCACTCATATCTACTCTTTGTGAGAGTTTTATTCCTGAGTGTTTAAGTGTTTTCATACACTTTAAGGGAGGTTGTTCCCTTGTTGTAAAGTCGAAGGAAGTTCCTTGTTCCTCCGTGATAAGTCTTGGAGTGCGGTATCTCCGAGCAAAGGTGTTGAGGCTCGTGTGACTCGGGTTCTCAAGTTGTATCGGTTTGTTAAGCACCCTTAATATTAACGGAGTTAGTGTAGCTCGAGAGAGTCTCTCGGGGGGCTGGATTAGCCACACGTTGTGGTGAACCAGGATAAAATTCGGTGTGCTCCTTCCTTACGCTCTTTACTTCAACGCACTCGTTTTTAATTTCCTGCGATTTTATTTCAAACGCTATTCACCCCCCCCTCTAGCGTTGGGCCTTTATTCTAACACCGACGCCCAAGCTCGGAAGACGGGAGCAGATCCAATTCACGGAGAAGGATCTTCCAAACACGCCGAGTCCCCACCGGGATGCCTTAGTCGTGAAGATAGAGATCAACGACGCCATAGTACACCGCACCTTGGTAGACACGGGAAGCTCAGTCAACATAATGTATGAGAAAACATTCCAAGACCTTGGTTTGAACCGCAAGGACTTGTGGAGTGGGTGCTACCATGACGGGCGCGTGCGCGCACGGGGGTTCATCGAAGGGGAGTGGGTGCTGCGCAAGAGGTCCGTGAGCCGCCCCCTAGAAGGTGGAAAATTGGACAAGAATTACGAAGGCCCCTACATCATCAAAGAAGTGGTAGGCCCCTCAACGTTCCGCCTGAAGACGCCGAGTGGAGGGGATGTGCCCAAGACTTGGAATGCCAAGAACTTGGTTAAGTTTTATCAATAGATTTCGAATGTACACGGGCCCGAGAAAGGGAACCCGCAACACCATGATTAAATTCAATGAAACGGAATTTTTTGCAAACAAGGTCCAGCAGGTGTGCTCGGCACTCCCCCTCAGGGGAAGAGCCGAACGCAGACCATGTCCGGATGCTCTTCCCGGATAAAGGTCTAACCTTCGTGTTCGGCACTCCTCCTCAAGAGAAGAGCCGAGCGCAGACCACACCTTGACGTTTTTCCTGGATAGGGGTCAAACATTCGTGCTCGACACTCCCCCTCAGGGGAAGAGCCGAGCGCAGACCATGTCCGGATGCTCTCCCCAGAAAAAGGTCTAACCTTCGTGTTCGGTACTCCTCCTCAAGGGAAGAGCCGAGCGCAGACCATGTCCAGATGCTCTTCCCGGATAAAGGTCTAACCTTCGTGTTCGGCACTCCTCCTCAGGAGAAGAGCTGAGCGCAGACCACACCCGGACGTTTCTTCCCAGATGGAGGTCGAACATTCGTACACGGCACTCCCCCTCAGGGGAAGAGCCGAGCGTAGACCATGTCCATATGCTTTTCCCGGAAAAAGGTCTAACCTTCGTGTTCGGTACTCCTCCTCAGGGGAAGAGCCGAGCACAGACCATGTCCGGATGCTCTTCCCGGATAAAGGACTAACCTTCATGTTCGGCACTCCTCCTCAGAAGAAGAGCCGAGCGCAGACCGCACCGGGACGTTTTTTCCCGGATGGAGGTCGAATATTCGTGCTCGACACTCCCCCTCAGGGGAAGAACCGAGCGGAGACCATGTCCGGATGCTTTTCCCGGAAAAAGGTCTAACCTTCGTGTTTGGCACTCCTCCTCAGGAGAAGAGCCGAGCGCAGACCACACCCGGACGTTTTTCCCGGATGGAGGTCAAACTTTTGTGCTCGGCACACCTCCTCGGGGGAAGAGGGAGTTCAACCCTTAAGGCTAATGGCGAAAAGCAAAAACAAGACTTAATCAAATCCAAATTTTATTCATCCCGGAAAATGGGCAAGTACATGACACAAATGCCCTACAATAATTAAACACCATGCAACTAGAGTACGAGTAGACTTCAGTGCATGCCGCAATTCCACCCCCGCTCGCACGGGCAAGGTGGGGGGTAGGAAGGTGAAGGAGCCCGACTGACAACGGAGTGCCCGGTAGACTCGTCATAGCTGGGCGAGCCTGGGTCTTCAAGGGAGCACATGCTCGGATGGTGGGATGCCACTGAGCTCTCGCTCGGAACCGCTGCGGGAGGAGCTGGAGGGCGGCAACCTCGGCCACCGCGGCCAACGGGAACCGGGGGAGCGACGACCTCACGTCGGACTAGCAGAGCCGGCGAAACCGACGGAGATGGGGTCTGCTCGTCCTCCTCCGACGAATAGTAGATGAACCCCGGGATCTTGGTAGAAGGATCGGGGTGCACCGACTCGGACACAGAATCCGAGTCCCAAGAGTCCCGCAGAGAGGGCGGCGAGGTCAAGCTCGGCTCCAACTCGGTCGGAATGGCAGAGGAGCCCCCGAGGGAGTAGCTGCCGAAGGAGAACGTCTCTCCTTGCATCTCACTGGAATCGGGGGGAGTGGGTGCCGAGCGCGGCATGGCAAGATTTGGAGAAATTCAAATAGGAATGAAAACAAATCGTGAGGACCCCCCCTTTATATAGGCATCTTGCCATGGAGGGAAGGTACACGTGGCAGCACGGGGATGGTCGTACTGACGGCAGGTCAAAAGGTCTCAGGTCCCAAGGTTGTCTCAGTTAACGAGAGGACAGAAAAGGGACCATGTCCCAAAGTAACCTCTCTTCGGCATGGCCGAGCCCAGGTCGGGCGGGGGATGGGCGAGCACGCAAGTTAAAGGAAACGACGAAAGACGGCAAAATTTAGGGCAAGACGGGAAAGCAAAGCATGTCCATACAAAGCAAAAACCCGAATTCAAAAAAAACAAGTTCTAAGCAGGATTACATCAAATACGACAAAGTTTAAAGTCATATCACTCAGCATTCGGCTGCTCGCCGGCCGTGTCCCCGCCATTCGGGTAGTAGATGGAAGTGTCAAACTCGTCAGGGTTGTCGCATGGCTCGGAGAAGTCCATCCCGGCGAGGAACCTATCGGAGAGGACCTGCTGCGCTCGGAACAGACCAAGGTTGCATCACGACGTCCCTTCGGAGCGAGCAAAGGCTTTCCCCTCGGGAGTCTGCCCCCAGCCCTTGAGTAGTTCATTCATGCGGGTGAAGGCCACCGCCTGATCGCGAGCCTCCTGGCGCGCCTTGCGAGCAGCCACCTCCGCGAGTTGCTGAGCCCGCTCTTCGGCCTAGCGAGCTTGCTCCTTGGCCGCCTTCAACGCCTCATTGAGGTCGGCTATCTCAACATAAGCCATGCGCATCATCGCCTGCAAAGAACAAAGGGGTGAGCATCACAGATGAATTACATTTATAAGGTGTAACAAGGGAAACTTATCGAGCCCAGCTCGTGGAAAGTATCCGAGGCCAGAGTCTCCCGGTCGATATCTTTTATCTTGGCGCGATCAGTTAGAGGAGTGAAGCTGCGCAGGAAGGTCTCCGGGTCGTAGTCCTAATCTAGGAAGGAGACCCGAGCGGGGAAGGCTGCCTTGACGTATTTACGATGGCCAAAGTCCTTCATCATGGGGGACTCGGACCCCTGCAGAGCATTGGCGGCTGAGGCCGTTTCCTTCCTCTTCTTCTTCTGCGCTGTCTCGGGTGTTGGCTTCACGGGTGGAGTCGGGGGACGGCCGCCCAAGGTAGGAGCCTGGGAGTTGCCGCTCGGAGCGTCCGGGAACATGAGCTTCATCCGCTCGGCGCTGGAGAGCATGATTTCACCTGCACAAAACCAAAGAAGACAAGTGGTGAGGGAAGGACAACTGCGAGAAGGAGTGGGAATCCGGAATAGTCGCGACGCACGGACGGTCGAGCGTAAGAGAGTGCATTGACCTAAGGGGCCTTCTTCAATGCTCCTCTGGGTGTCTTCCGGGGATAGGAAGACGAAGCTGAATGCCGCTAGCGCCTTTTTCGTCACTACCGAGCCGACTTCGAAGGGCCCCCCTTGGCAGAGCGTCTCTACGTCCTCGAGCATCTTGTCCGAGGTGACACACGCGGAACGGCGGCGAAAGGAATTGAGGGGTTCTTTACGAAAGGGGAGCCCGAGGAGAGAGAAATGAAGATGAACTTCCCCTTCCAACTCTTGGCGGAGTCCTTCCTCGTCTTGAAAGCCTCTCCTGCCTCTGGAAGATAGAGGCGTACGAACCCGAGTCGGAGTTGGCCCGACCAGACGACTTCGCCAACCGGAAGAGCAGCAGGAAGCGAGCCAAATCGGGGCGAACCCCGGTCCCTTGGCAACGGATAAGGAACCCCGCCAAGTAACGATGGGATTTGGGCACGACTTGGCAAGGGAGAAAATCAAAATGGTGGAAAAAATCTATGACCAACTGATGGAGGGGAAGCAAAACCCGTACTCGAGGGATTTGAGGTGGACAGCAAAGAAACCCGAAGGGGCATCAAAGACTGACTACTCGGGGGTGGGACGACGCACGGTCACACCCGGAACCGAGGCTAGGCGTTTCGCCTTGCAAAATTCCTCAACCGTGAGGGTGCACTTCCGTGCTCGGATCCCCGAGTCCTCCAGGGTGGTGCGCCTCTGGTTGCGAGGCTCGGATTGAAGAGGGATCTCAACCGCCTCGACTATCTCCTCAACAGAGGGTGAGCGGGAGTCGCTCTCCTGGGCAGAGCCTGTGATGGAACCCTCAGCATTGCGCTCGGACGCGGACCGACGAAAGACTGAGGATTGGGAAGACATGGAAGAGCAAGGCCGAAGAAGACTAACCTAGTACAGAGCCGGAGAACGGACGAGGATGGCAGCGGGAAGACTAGCGACGACAAAGAATCCTACTTTCTCTCTCTAAAACTGGAGAATGAGATGAGTAGGGTGGGTATTTATAAAGGAAGGGTTGAATGGGTGCAATGATGGGCCGCCACTTGGCCTAGGGAGGCGAAACGACGCACCCCTTCATGATGGCGAAGCCCAAACGGCACCAATGACCTGCCAACTATTCCACGTGGACCCTGCGCCGCTTTCCTACAGTACCCATACTCTCTCGTGTTCCATCGTCGACTACAACAAAACCCGGAGAGTGGGGGGCTTATGATGGAGGGCGACTCCAAAAGGCACGTCATCCGGGCCCTATCAGCCACGTGGAGGATCTTCTCTGCTCGGCCCATGTGCTCGGCTCGCCCTATGGGCTCGGCTCGGCCTGCGAGCTCGGCTGGGGGCCGTGATAGCGACCGCAGGATAGCAACCGGCCACGTTGACTGCGCGACAGCGACGGGATGAAAGGGACAACGCATAAGAGGGATGACGTCCGCTAGGCGACAAACCTCGATGAGAGAAACTTTGACTATGTGTATTGTATCCCCTATAAAAGGGGTGAGACCCCTCATTGTAATGGATCCAAGTTTAGAACGAATAAACTCCTACTTTGTACGCTCTCTTTCTCTCTCTCTCTAAAACTTATATTATTCTCTATTCTCGGTGGTTTACGACCATCACTACTTGATATTTATTATTCTTTTATTGTATTCTAGATTTTTATTAGGTGAGCGAAATTATAAGCTCCTTCGAGGGTTTCTTCGTGGTTCTTTACCTCGCCGTTTTTCTTGAACTGCCAGGGTAGAAAACGTAGTAATTAATTTAAGGGTTTCTTTATTAGCTATAAATAGAGAGGTACACCACTTTTAACATTCAAGGAAATCAAACCCTAATCTCTCTCATATCACCAGCTCGGCTGCCTGCAGTTGTAGCTCTCTCTCTTTCTAAACCTCAGTTCTGGAGTTTAAAGGCACTTAAAGCCTTCCCTATCCTGATACACTCATATCATTGGTGCTCTTGTTGATCATCATGAGTTCAGAAGCCACGCCTATAGCAGATCATATCGCGTTTATTAATTCCCATTTCAAGGAGTTGAGGGACACTATCCATAACACCACGGAACAATCGCAGCAAGATTTTGAGACTTGTTTGGCGTTCCAGGCTTTGAAGCTGGACAGCCAATACGCACGGGTCAAAGCTTTGATTATGGCAGCACACAACGACAACCACTCCACCTAGCGGCAACCACCATGTGTTTCATGACGATGGATTTGAGCATCGAGGATATATCTTCGTACACACCCAAACTGAAGCTTGGATTATTTTTGCGTTTTATATATTGCTTCCGCATTTTCCAACACCGTTTTTATCAAAGTTTGAAAAGTTTTCAAACACCTTATTCACCACCCTCTAAGGCGTGGGCACAACGACAAACACTGACTAACACTATCATATCATATTTATTCATTATTAATCTCTTCATCACATCTCACTTTTACACATCACATCATATGACAGTTTGGGCATGTAAAAAGAAAATATTTCTCCTTTAAATTTTCTAAAAATCAACAGAAAAATTATTTTATGAGACAGGTATAGTATATTATTCCCTGCGTCTGGTATTAATTTATCCAATTTAACTTTTCTCCATTTTAAGATGTGTTGATTAATGAGATGAATTGGCTAAAATGTCCTTACTTAAAAGGGCTTAAAGAAATGCAAATTGTGTGGCCACTGCTAATCTCCCAATCTTGCTAGCACGCAGCACACCAACAGCCCCCACCGCGGCCGGCCTCATTGCTGCACCCATCGCTAGCCCCACGATCACCGCCAGCGCTACCATCTCCATTAGCCCCTACCACCATTTCCCTTCCCTCCATCATCGCCAGCTCCCGCTACCATCTCACCTGCCCCACCATCATCGCCAGCCACCACCATCATCATACCTCAAAGAAAGAGAAAAGGGAGGAGAAATAAGAGTGGGCGGGAGAAGACAAAGATATAAGAAACAGATCTTGCAGATGTAGGAGGTCTAGATCTAGGAAATGGATAATATAGGAGAATACGGGAGAAAGATGATGAGAAGGAGGAAGATTCAATCTGTGAGAGAAAGAAAAGAAATATGAGA